TCTCGTAGAATATCTAGATTTCGTGAAAACAGTGGTTGCAGTCTGAATAAATCCTTCGGATCGAGCATTCGGCTACAATCAACTAGATTGGTCTTAGCGATGTCGGCTAAATCCATGAGCAGTTAGTGTATTTGAAGCTGAGAGTATATGGCGGATTAAGGTGTTTTCGGTAGGATAATCTTTGCATTTTTAAAAATAATTAAAGATGTTGTCATTCCAACAGTTTTTTAATTCATAAAGAAAGACATGTATGCGATAAGTGACAAAGATTCATTAACGAGTGTAGAATTGTGATTTAGTAATATGTGAAGTAACAGAATGTAGCATGTACGCAGCGGCATACGGAAGAAGTGCGTATGCATATTTTCCACGAGACGGACAATTTTGGATCTGAGTCTAATCTGAGAGCTATAATTTCACAGGTTCAATGAATACGAGACTACACTGGTGAGACAGGTTATAAATAACTATACAGTCATAACAGATATATGCCGACCGCAAAAAGTACGTGTGCGTAGCAACCAGTAGTATTCTAGAATTATTCCTGTTCTTCTGAATAGTTCCACACGTTCACGAGAATAGTTGTCTTTTTAAATTGACTATCATAGTCATATCTTCATACTAGTAAGACTGAGGATTTTTCAATCGTACCGGGAAACAGAAGAGCTATAAGATGCTGATGAGCATAAAAAATTAGGACATGTGACAGATAACGTCAACTGTTCCGCGATAGTAGTATGGCAGCCGTAAAGTGGCTGTGAATTTAGCAGCGTTGATACTGAACTCTGAAGATTTTAAATCCAAGTATAGAGATTTTTGCATGGACGAGATATAACATGCGTTGAATAGGAATTCGATTCTGCTAGTCATGAGCTGAGCAGTTATGAATCGTGTGCGGTGCGTGCTTAATATGAGAGATTGGTGGAGGGATTCACAACCTCAAACTGTTAGAAGCACTATCGAAATGCTACTGAGCGACTTATAATTGTCGTCAGTTGCTATGGGATATTAAAAACGCACGGTATCAGCGTAGATGCGATCAGATGCGGAGCAATACAGGGTAATACCGTATATGGCGTGTTCCTACGGTCGTTCTCACGAGTAAGGTTTGTGCTAAACGAGTAGTGATAGATTATGTGCACGCGCTATAATAAACGCAAGCAAGGAATATCGTACGGTCAATATACGGCATGATGACAGACGCACCAAGTAGTTGGTGCGAAACAAACTAACGCTTGTAATGACGGGATTTAGTAAGTACGTGTCAAACGTGTGCGATTACGCCACCATCCGTGATTTTTTGAGTGCGATCTACTGGCGAAATGGAACATGGGCAGATCGAGAGCGCGAAACTGTACGCGTACTCGCCGCGAAAAACCATATTCGTAGCAAAAAACCTGTCCCGAGACGAGATCCAAAAATACAAATAGTTCCCGGATCAGCGATAAATAGCGCAATTTATCACGATGTAGGTGTTATGGTTGGTGGGATGTAGTCATCAAAATATTAGCGATTAGATTTAAGCAGAAGAAGACGAATTCTGGCAGAAGAGAAAGCTCGTATAGGCCCATGAAGCATAAAGCTACCAGGCAGCCATAGAATGACAGTCAAGAATCAGATCTTAGTTCGCGTGATGAATGAAGAGTAGGGTGAGTGGGATATGACCGATAGTTGACAGATAGTAAATTAGAATTCTCAAGTAGCGTTGTGGTAATATAGAGTTGCGAGAGGTATAGTGTTGTCGTTGGGACCGAATAGGCAGGAGTACGATCTTCAAAGAAAAATCATTGCCTGGTGAAGTTTAAAATCAAAAATAGGTTACTTGAACTTCCCCAGAGGTAGCTATGAGCCGACAAACATCCACACTAAGTGTGTATAACGGTAGTACTGGTACTATTGGGTGGTTAAGAGAAGGATGAGACGAGTCATAGGTAAGGCAGAAGCTTTATGTGATTTTTGCCGGTTTGACGTCAGTGATGAATGGCACGTGAGTACGAGACTCGGAATGCGGTGAAAGTGGTTATTATTGCAGGGGAGGAAATTACGTGAGGCATTTACACGGGAATTAAAATACAATTTTAAAACATTGCTCACTTCACTCAAGTTCACAGTAAAGAGATAGGATCATGCCCATGAAGAGCACAAAAATTAGGAATGCACGCAGAGGATTTGTGTCATTATTTAGCAAATTAATTCAATGGTAGTAAAAATGCATTAAAATCTAGGACCAACCAATAAAACTGTACCAAATGCAGTGCCAGTGTATTACTGATCTAAATTTTTAAAAAATGAAAATTTGAAAAAGCAAAAGAAAATGTAAAAAGATAAATTATGAACATTTCCACAAGCACCTCTATTTCTTGTTGTGGAACAAATGTAAAAACTCCATACTTTGTGGCCTGGTAGGTTATTTAAACTAGAAGCTTTGATTACTTCCGTACAACCAATTAAAGCAAGAGCGTTATAATGATGATTTATATTTTTTTGAGAGAAACTGCAAGATAATATTTCAAATAAAACTTACCTATCTTCTACATTGTGGACCTTCACTACAAGAGTTAAATCATCCGCACATACTTTTCAAAACTTTCCTTTCAAATTTTGCCAGTGGGTTTTTCATAATCACTTAGGCGTTTAAAAAAACACCAACTAAGTATCCCGGATTGGCCACTTTTCAAGCCTGGGGTGGAAGTATTTGGAAAAAAAAAAAAAACCTTTTTTAAAAAAAAATTTACCAAAAGAATCCTCTTG